TAAACTAAACTAAACTAAACTAAACTATCAGGCTTGGAGAGCTGCCAAGCCGATATCTTCCAAACTCCACGCTGTAGCAGACAATTACTTGGCAAGAAGTCAGGAACAGATCTTCTCCCTAATGAATTGAACTAATTGTCTCCTGCAAACTCCCCTCCCCTTTCGCTCCTCTTTTATTCCCTATGGGAGGGGCCATTCACCGTCCACCTGTGCCTTTATTCCCGAGTCGACCCTTGTTCCTTAGCTGTTCCGTTCTCCTGGAAGATCTGTGTATGTGCACACTGGGAACAGGCTCCAGCTGTTCTTCTGCCCCATTGATGTCCAACTCTGAAGGCAGCTGATAACTATCAGACGACCCTGGCCCCATTTCTGCCTCCAACACAGAGCACTCATCAGAGCCTTTTTCAGACTCCAGGACTGGCCCATGTTCCTCCCCAACCTCCTCACTGTCCGAATCTGCTACCAGATCTGCTTGCTGCTGGCGGGCCACAACAGCACAATCCTGAGCTGGAGGGGAGGAAGGGGAAAGATGTTCAGAATAACTACACTTTAGAATCTCTAAGGATATACTATATCTATTAGCTTAGACCAGGGGTGTCAAACTCAAAGCCCATAGGTCAGATCCAGCCTGCGGGATGCTGAGATCTGGCCCGCAGAGCCACCTTGGAAACAGTGAAGGACTGGCCTGCGTTGGCTTTGCCGGCCCTCCCTGGCTCCGCTTTCTCTGGCAGAGGGCTGCAAGATGTTGAGCTGGCCAGGTCTACCCTGGCTTCATCCACCCCAGCCATGCCCATTCAACACCCCCCCAGGTCAAACACAGCCCTGATGCAGCCCTCAATGAAATCAAGTTTGACACCCCTGGCTTAGAAAATTATAGCTGTACTTAGGCAAGATTCTGTCTATTAGATGTAAGCGAATAAAGATTGCAGTTGATTGGATTTCAGTCTCATCTCTGGGCATGAGCCTAACATCAGTGTTGCCAAACTAAATATTACTAGATATATATTCTGAAGCATTCTAGGGTGAGGGGTCCTGGGTGCTCCCTCACTTGGTTGCTTTCTAGCTCAGACAGTACCATGGACCCCGCATTTGAACCCTGAGCTACAAATATTCTCCTTTATCAGCATCTAGGATGTAGTTGCCCTCAACCTCTTTCTCCCTTCCCCGTCCAGCTTGGGACTGTATAATCTCTCGATCCAGGTCTCCTTCTGGGAAGGTTCTGAGTTGACAAAAATTCCTCCTTCGGTAATGCAGGTGCTCATTCCATCTCAAAAAATATCTTTCAGGTACACAATTTAATTCTTAGCAGAGTAATTGCTGCATTTGACCCAGTAATTCTGTGCATTCTGCCACCAACTTGCCACAAATCACATCATGTTTTCTTCTAGCGGTTGACCAGGTGAGCACTATGACCACAGGGGAGCAAAGACTTGTACCTTTCTCCCTTCAATTTGGGGAAAAAATAAATGTGAAATATTCTCCTTTTGCATACTTAATTATCTAAAAACAAAGCCACTGAACTCCAGTCTCATCGTCCCATCTTCATAACTCTGCTGTTTTCTGACTTGGTCACCATTGATCAGTGATGGCTAAGCTTTTGGTTGCCGAGGGCCGAAAGTGTGCACATGCACCCATAATGCAATGTGTGCGCACCACCCCCCATGTATGCCCCGTGCATGCGTGCATACCCCCTGCGCTCTCCCCACCTCCTGCTCATGCACATGTGACCCCCCCACACTCCCCCCACACCCTGCACATGCATGCACAAACTCCCACGCTCCCCACATCACCCACATATGCATGTGTCACCCCGTGCATGTGGCCATGAGCTCTGCATGTGCGCCTGCAGGGCAGAAACCCAAAAACCAACTGGTCAGCAGGAGGCGCACGCCAAAGCTGGGTTCCTACCAGTTCGGACCGGTTCAGCCAAGTAGGTAGTAACTGGGCCGGTCACACCCCCGAACTGGTTCTATCGGCCATAGGCACTGCCATCTTGTTTTTCACTTCTGCGCATGCACACGTAGTATGCAAAGTGCATCCCTGAGCGGACCAGCAGTAAAAGAAGCCGGAACCCACCCCTGGCATGCACGCATGTGTGGTGGAGCTGAGCCAGGTGATGACTCACATGTCTGCAGAGAGGGCTCCGTGTGCCACCTGTGGCAAGCGTGCCATAGGTTCGCCATCACGGCCATAGAGTGTACTATAGAAAGAGCATCTAGAACCTGGAAGTTTCCAGAGAAAACAACTATCCCTGTCCACATTTTTGCTGTGGGAGAAAAGAATTACGTGATTCTAGAGAACGGTCAATGGTGAAAGAAGGATAAGTTGAAAGCAATACTGACCAGAGGTCATGTGTTGAGTAATGAAATCCAGGAGCTCATTCACTTTAGAGAAAATGCCTGGAGAACCTCTACTGCCGTTGATCCTCTTGTCAGTTACCCAGCCTTTTCCACAACCAATTCCCCACGAGGTGATGCCTACCAATGTCCAGATGCCGCTGGCTTTCCTACATGCCAGGGGCCCTCCAGAATCACCCTGATATAAAACATAATATGAGGGGGGAAAAAACTTCCAGGTAAGTAAGTGGTAGCACCATCCACATTTTTGGAAACATGCCAACAACATGATGCCCTCTCCACATTATTTATTTTATTGAATGTATTGAATGTAGAGATTGCCTTCTTTTTGGAACTCAAGGAGGCATACACAACATTTCTTCATCCATTTCCCCCTCCCCATATCAATCTTGTGAAGTAGATTGGGTTGACGGGGAGTGACTGGATCAAAGTCACCTACAAAGTTTCTGTACCGATGCATGGATGTGAATTTGGGACTTTCTGATCCTAGTCCAAACACCTTAATACAGTATATCAGATCTCTCGTTTCACTGACTTACATTTCACTCTTTGGGAATGTACACTTCGTTAAATATATGTAGCAATAGCAACAGACTGATATACTGCTTCACAGGGCCCTCTCTAAGCAGTTTACAGAGTCAGCCTCTTGCCCCCAACAATCCGGGTCCTCATTTTACCAACCTTGGAAGTTTGGAGGGCTGAGTCAACCTTGAGTCTGGTGAGATTCGAACTGCCAAACTCCAGGCAGCTGGCAGTCAGCAGAAGTAGCCTTCAGTACTGCATTCTAACCACTGCGCCACTCTTATATGTACTGTAATTGTTAATGTGCTAGTATTGACCAGTGTTTCTCAACTTTAAGAGATGTGGATTTCATCTCCCAGAATTTCCTCGCTAGCAGCAGCAGCTGACTGGGGAATTTTGGGAGATGAAGTCCACATCTCTTAAAGTTGCCAATGTTGAGAAACACTGGTATAGACCATAATCTTGTAATGTCCTACTTTCCAACCAACACCATTTCAGTATTGTATTGCCCAAATTCAATATCTTTAAAGAAAAAAAATCCAGCAAATAGACAAAATTCAAAATGGTCTCAACCACAAAGGTAAAACAGGATATCACATAAACCAAGGCTGCAAGCACACAATTTTTTTTCTTTTTTAGTTTTATTTTTAATGGGAGGCAAATGCTTTAGAATCCAGCATTGAACGGACCCTTGTAAGTTATGATATTAAGTTATCAGACAGGTCAATATTTTCATCAAAGCAATAAAACTGATCATTAGAAATACAATGCCAGCAATGATTTCCCCACAATTGGTGCATCACTCTTAATTAGAAAAAAAATTACTTTGTTCGAGGATGCTGTCAGAAACATGGAGTAGAGAGAGCTTCCTAACAATAGAAAAATGGAATACTGTATTTTTCGGCGTATAAGGCGACTGGGTGTATAAGACGCCCCCCCTACTTTTCCTGTTAAAATATAGGCTATACTCGCCGTATAAGACGACTCTTCTTCTGAGGCACACCAAATAGCCAATCAGCCTCCATTTTATTTCCAGCGCCTTTCTCCCAGCTTGGAACTGAACTAAGTGGTTTTTCCTTCCAACGCTCCCCTTCCCCAAACTGGACTCCAGATGAGTCAGGTTGGCTTCTTCAGGCAACGGGGGTGAGGTGGGGAGAACAGGCTTCAGTCCAATTCAGGCTGAATATCCAAGACCCGCATCGCTGCATTGAAAGCAAAAGCGGCTCCGGGCCAACTATTGTACCCAGGGGGCTTTTCCCAGAGTTTTGAAGAGAGAAGCCGCCGCAAGCATCCTCCCTCCCAGCAACTCTCCCCACCGCCTCAGTTGACAGAGGAAAAAGACAGGGAGCTGAAGGAAATGCCGGGACGTGGATACCCCCCACTCCCATCAAACAGAGGGTTTCCTCGCTCAAGGAGAAGTGAACGGCCCACAACCACCAAGGCTACGAGCATTGCCTGCATTATAGGTCTTCCCAGGCTACTAGACCGGATTCTCTCCTCTATATGCCTGAAAAACAGAATATGAGGCGCTATGCTGGCTTTTTTTTAAAGCTCCCCTAATCCTCCACCTCTTTCCAGAGTCCCACAGCAAACCGCAGCCACCACCATCACATCCGCAACCCAAATCCATTTACCTCAGGCACCCGCAAGCCGGCTGAAGGCCTCCGCACTGCCAGGCTTCAGTAGTTTGAGCTCAGCGCCTTCCGCCTCCAGACCGCCAGCCAGACCTTACTAAGCCATCCCAGTGCTCATCCATCCACGTGCCCAGGCGAGGAGTGCCGAGGCTATCGATTGAAAGGCTGGCGTATGCACTGGTGGCAGTACGGCCTTTTGCTTGGCGGCATTGCTTTTTCTTTTCTTTTGTTTTTTTCCCTGAACAACCTCATTCAAATGAACATGTTTTTAATCAACGTATCATTCTTTAATTTTTTTATATACCAGTTGATTGTTTTGTTTCTG